ATAGTTCCTACAGCCTTTTACTAAATTAATGGTATCATTCCTGATAGATGTTCAGTATCTCAGCATATATTGATCCATCTACTTGTGTCATGCATTTGAAGAATGTAAATATTCATGATATATTGCAGTCAATATTTGGAGAAAAGGGAAAAAAGGGTTAGGATAGGTTTGTTTCTCGGTGCTTGATGATTTTGCGTATTCTATGTTTGGTGCAGACTTCACCAGCGATGCTTGCTGACAAAGATATCATTGTTGCTGAAATTTTGAAGAAGTGAGTACCTAGTTTTGATCTCGACCAATCTAATGCTATGCACTATTGGGAGAAATTTATGCTTTTTGGATCAGGCTATTAAACTTGGGAACTTTAGGTCTGAAACTAAGCAAGGGCAGCATGTTTTTGACATGCTCACGGTGGTCAATAGCATTGGGATTTCAGCTACCAGTCTCTCAAATCATTTGCAAAATCTCAAGGTTCGGATGGTTTTAAATGGAAAGCTCAGCATCTCCTTTATTTTCTTTTCATTCCATATTTACAACAGTTACTGTTTAAGCTTTATTCCAATATAACCTTGCATTTTAAAATATTGTTACTCTCAACTACTCCATTTATCAGTGTTTATCAACTTTGAATAATATATAAATATTCAATTTTGAAGAATTGAAGATGAGTGAGTGCATGTGAAAATAGACCCTTTTCCAATTTTATCTATGCAGTTGCATGCATGAATATAATTTAGAAAGATGTTGGACTAATTGTTCATCGATATTCTGCGGATGCAGTATGCAACTTTGGTTTCAATAATCCTTGAGAAGATTTTTGGCGATATGTCGAGCGATTTAAAAAGTTATTGAGAAGTTATATCATGTGTTGTATTCTTTTGCTTTTGTAATTTTGTCTCTATTATCCTCTATTTCTTTTATGTAACAAAGTTTCTTTCTTATACTCTTTTAGTTGAAGGGAGAAATCACATACGAAATGAAGGATCTGGCGTACTGTTATACAATTTTGAAATATCCTGAAGATTTTTGTTCTATGTCAGCACATCTTAGAAAATGGTTATCCGAGATTCAGACTAGTAAGGTTGTTGATTCTGACTTTACTATGCATTTTTTAATCTATTTATGTGAGTCTATTTTGGAGGTTAGCATGTTGATCATGTTTCCGTAGTCAGCATAGAAAGCAATTCCCCTACATAATACCATAACAGATGGCCGTGATACTACCACAATTAGAGCCTTTTTTTGATCTATACTTCTCATCCACTAAAGTTTTGATTCACTTGCACCTATTTTTCATTCATGAAAACTTGAAAGAATTGGTTCATTATGTCTGCTGATTTGTATTTATTCACCCAAAGCACCAAATTTTTTGTTAAGATATATTGTTGTTACCTTCCATTTTCAACACCTTTGGGCCAAAGCTCTGTTGTTCTGACTGGGTAATTTACGTGCAAGCTAGCTCATCTACTCGTGAGTGTGTCCCCTCGTAGATCGACATTTGGGAGGATGTTGTATGTTTTTCTTTAAATCAAGCCGACATGTCTAGGGGTTGTTTTTGTTTTCAGGTTAGGAAACTGGACGCCATGTTTGATGCGGTGACTTCCGCTGTGAATTTGTGTGAAAAGAAGACTCAGGGCTGCTTTAACTATGAGCAAACACCATGCTTAGAAGGAAAGATTTGTTCTTATTTCCAGGAGGGTGATAATTATGATATTCCAAATAAAATGAACCAGAGCAGGTATGTACAGTCACTATTTCTGATATACAGTTAGAAGAAATGAGAAGAGATTTCGACCCAAGCCCACCGCTAGTATATATTATCCTCTTTAGGTTTTTTCTTTCGAGCTTCTCCTTAAAATTTTTAAAACGCATATGTTAGATAACCGATGGGGGATCTCATAGTCCACCTTCCTTCGGAGCCCAGCGTCCTCGCGGACACTCGTTCCCTTCTCCAATCGATGTGAGACCCCTCAATCCACAACATTCTTGCTGGCACACCGTCCCATGTAAGGGCCCAACGTCCCTGCTGGCACACCGTCCCGTGCCACCCCCCTTTGAAGTTTAGCCTCCTTGCTGGCACATCGCTCGGTGTCTGGCTCTGATATCATTTGTAACGGCCTAAGCCCACCGCTAGCGGATATTATCCTCTTTGGGCTTTCCCTTTCGGGCTTCCCCTCAAGGTTTTTAAATCGCATTTGCTAGGAAGAGAGGTTTTCACACCCTTATAAAAAATGTTTCGTTCTCTTTCCAACTGATGTGTGATCTCATAAGTAGATTATTCATGCAATACTATAAATTCTTGTTCTTGTTCGTTTACTACGTACATGAGGTATATAATCGTGCTAACATCAATACTATTCATGTGCAGCCCATTCCTCCGAGCAGATATAAAAGTGAGGGCTATACAAATGCTTAATGAGATCATTTTCAACGGGTCAAGGCTCAGCTATGTTGAAAAGGCTTATACTTTTTGCTGTAACAGGTCTTTTTGCAGAGCAACTCACAGGCTAAGTTCACTCCCAGGGCCGTTGCAAGGATTATGCATGGCATTTCGAGCCCCGCTTATCCTTCAACAATATGGTCAAGAACTCATTTCTGGTAACCAGATTTCCTTTTTAGTTTCAATCAAATTCTCTTACATCACCATTAGCGAATACTTAGCTGACGAACCACCTTTAGATCACGCCCACCATGCCAAATATGAATTTGTCTAAACTTGTAGGAAGAAAGGAAGTCTGTCACCATAATAAATAAAACATTTCAAAATCATAATTTGCCAAACATATAAGCAACCAATCTGATTGTAAGCATTTGGGATGACAGGGGTAGGTATACACAGGTCGATTTCTCAGTAATAATGGAAGCAGCTACGTTAGAGCTCTTAAATTTTGTCGGGAAGGACGTCACGTCCTAGCTATACATGAACAGATAGATCTTTTTCAAAACTGTTGTTGAGCATCTAGATCCACAGACATAGCAGTTGGGTGATTCAAAACTTGGTCATCTCATTCTCATCAATCTACCATTGCCATGATTACCACTTAAGTAGTTAAGAAGCAGATGGTCCATTTTGTTGTTGGCCGAGCCTAATGATCAAGAGGACAAACAAGATCGATTTCAAGAAAGGTAGATTAACTGAATCACTGACAGAGACTTTCATAGATTTTTCTTAACGTTCTGTCAGCTGTGAATTAATTTGTTGTTCGCAGGAGAACATATTGGAATCACAAGGGATGGAGTTCATCAAGTTTTCTGTTGGTTTTTGTACAAAGTTATTGATTACTAAGCCCCATTTGCCTTGTTCATCTGTACTTCCTGCAACTAATGTAACTTATACCACAAGTAAAGTAAAAAAAAGAAAAATTAAAAAACTAGGAATAATTATGCCTTTTTTATTATTTTTTATTATTATTTTATAATCCTTGAATTTTATAATTTATCCAAATCTCTGTTTTTTATTTATTTTTTATTTTTTCTATTGAGGGCATGGAACATTCTAGAATCTCTATTTGTTTTCGTTTAGTTTAAAGAATTTGGGGGGGGGGGGGGGGGGGG